ATATTCTCGTTGTAGGGATACAATGGACAGCACAACCCGGCATGAACCCTAACCTCATGGAGTTTAGCATTATGTTTCTTTTTTTTTTTTTAACGGTAACTCACAAATAAACATCAAAGAATGATTTCAAGTGCTGAATGGGAGAGAAGACACACAACAGAAGGGACAGTGACATGCATGCAGAGATCAATAAATGCTTTCCTGAGGAAATGACAACAGGGATGAGATCAGCAGGACAAGTCTGAGGACCTGAGGATGGATGGGGAAGGAGGGATAGGAGGTGAGGTTTCCCAAGAAGAGGTCACACAGGCCACTCTAAGGAATTGGGCTTTATAAAAATAAAAGGGGGGGGGCCATCCAAGGGACAGTCAAAAGGCCCTAAGGAAGCAAGAGACTTGCTCAGCGATGCTGTTATGGGAATAAAAAGCACTGGGCAGGAAAAGGCTATAGGAAAGTTTCATCAATCCATGACCAAAAACCAAGCATTCTCATTTCAGGAGTCTTTTCCCTACACCTTCTCAGACCCCTTCCCTGGAACCCTATCAACCCTCTTGACCAACCTCAATATTGAGAGCTCAAAGAACCATGCTCCTGAATTCCCTTCTGGAGTTAAAGGTCACTGAGTTTAATTTATATCTACCGAATGCTTCCTAGTAATGTCTTCAAAGGCATTCTACTAATAGACTGGAAGGATGAAGTAATGAGAACCGTCCTGGACACAGCGTACCATAGTGGTCCCATTTTACAGATTAGCTACTTAGAGGCAGATATCTGGGATTTATATCCTCGTATCTTCTATCTCATTTTCCGATGTAATTTCCCCTGTGAATTGTGAGTTCATATGCAATAATCACATTGGACTACACAGGGGACTCAAAGTGTACCCAGAGCAACCACACTGGGATTCAAGAAATCACAGTTGTCATCCCAGTTCTTGCCTCAAATAATCATGGGGCAAGACCTTTCCTCTCCCTGGGCCTCAGCCTCCAGGCAGTAGGATCTAAGGTTTGGTAAGCTTCAGAGTTTGAGAATGAGGGGCTAGCTCAGTATGGAGGCCCTAGTTACTGCTCCACAGTTCAGATGCTTCCCTCTGACCCTTAGAACCTTCCTGGGCCATGCTCAATACCCACCTAATCACAAGCGTGAGAGACAGAGGCACCTACAAAGAGTCAGGTTTACTAGGCTTCAATTCTAGTTGCTGTGTGACCTTGTGTAAATTTATTAACTTTGCTGGGCCTCAGTTTGTTCATCTATGAAATGTAAGTCAACAAATCTGCATTGTCAGATTGCTGTGGATATTACAGAAAATGTATGAAAACATGTGGCTTAGTTCCTGACTTAAGCAGATACCCAATAAGCATTATATACCACTGTGCCTTTCTTCTTTCCACCTATCCTTTTAAATCTCTCTTCTCTCCTTCCTCTGTCCCTTTACACTGCCTTTCCCTCCTCTAGGGAATAAATGCAGTAGTTCTTGACTTCCATACCTTCCTTTACTGGGGCATCTGTTATTCTAAGACATGAACTTCATTTCATTGGCCAAATGCAAATGGGAGCTTCAGATTACAGGAATAATTCCAATCCCTGGTGCAGCTGGGAGCTTTCTCAGTCCCTAATACGTCTGTGGGTCAGTGTTGATCTGATTCCACTTCGATGACTTCTATAGAAGAAGGATGGGGCATAAGAGAGTTCCCAAATGACATCTGCAAGGAGGCATGTGAAGGAGGAGTACAGGGACCCAGGAACGAGACAGCCTGGTCCCCCAAGACCCACTCACCCCAGGATTGATCTCTGCTCAAGCTTTCTCAAGAACCAGAACCAGAACTAGAATCTGCTTCCCCTGAGGCCTAACAGATTGAGGCTGCTATTTTGCTTCCCAAGGTTATAAGTTCAAGTACACTGAGAGTGTGTGTTGGAGAAACATGCCGTTGATAAGAACAGGAGATTATATTGAGAGCGTTCCAATGGCCCTACCCACCTCATTTCTCTCTGAACCCTGATCTCTCCTCTGGGACCCTGTCACTGCCAAGACACAGGCTCTAGCTAGCATTGCTTTGCCTTTTGAACCGCTGCAATGAAAGACCATCTTCTGATAAGCAGCGCAATTAGTAGCCTGGTTATCAGCAGTTATCAGTCCGCCTCCTTCCCTTCAACACGCACAAAAAAAGAGGAGTCTAAGGTTCCAGAAATCATAAGCAGCCCCTTTTCCTGAGTGGAGGGCAGATTGTGGTAATGAGTGATAGAGTTTGGCATCTACTCCTGCCAAAGAGAATTCTTTTTTTCTTTTCTGGAAGCTCGTGAAGAAGGCTTAGGAAATGTTTTTGTTTGTTCGCGGGCTTGGGTCGGACAGTGGCCCTTATCTGCCTGGGCAGGGTCAGCCTTGGGTATTGCTTCTACCTATCTCAGGATGGTAGAAGCCAAGTGAGTTGGTAGTAAGCAGGACAGTGTTCCTAAAACAATCGGTGTGAATTGTGTGAGATCGAAAGTTACAATGAAGATACTTAAGCTAATTATCAAGTGATCCATTCTGTTCATCCATCAGTCCACCCTTCCCTCCTTCCATTTATCCCTCTGCCCACCCATTAGTCCGTCCATCCATCCATCCCTCCACCCACCCACCCATCAGTCCATGAATCAATCCAGCCATTCATTCTTCCATCCATCTGTTCTTCGTCCATTAACAGATATCTACTGACCACTCTAACATTTTAAGGTCTCTACTGGCACCTTGGGATTCCACAGTGAACCAGGTAGACACATTTCCTGCCACATCAAGGCCTCAGCTGAGGAGAGCTACATGAAAAATTAAGCAATCTAAAGAACAGCGTGATAAGCATTAAGGTAGAAGTTCAAGGTGCAGGGAGAGAACATCCAACAGATACAGCTCGAGCTTGGCGTCGCCAGTCACAGCCTGCTGAGGAAACTCCCCCTGGGCAGAAGCCATTCCTCTAAGAGACGCTCTAGCTGGGCAGACTGAGGAAGCAGCAAGAAGTGCGAAGGGCTCTGCCACTTATTCGTACCTACTGCATGCCAGAACCTAGGCAGGGCCTATCGCAGATATTTCTACTCTCCCTTTTCACAGTGACCTGAGAAAATGGAGACTCTCAGAAACTAAGTTGTCTGCCCAAATGCTTAGAGTTAAATGGCTTTATAAATGACCTGCTTTTTCTCTGGTCCCCATGTGCTATTGTCCGGCTTCTTCCATGAGTTCCCCTCCCCCACACCTCATTTTGGGATTATGAGGGAGCCGTCAAACCAGAGGCTTTTCACACATTCTACAACCAAGGCAGATTAAGAGTAGGGGCTCCAGATTCAAAGGAACATTGATTTAAATTCCTCTCTGACATCAACTAGCAGTTGTGACTTTGGGCTATTCACTTAACCTCACGAAGCCTCATGCCCTCATCTGTAAAATGGGGGTAAGAATAGCATCTACCCCAGAGCTTTGTGAGAAATTAAATATGCCAAGTACTAAGTCCAATATATTAAATGATATGTGATAATATGTAATTATTTTATACAGAAATACACAGAAGTAGTCTCTATGGAAGTAGCCTTGAGCTGGAGGAGGGAGAAGCGTGGGAGGCAGAGGAAAGAGTTCGTGCTTCAGGTGGAGGCTGAACTGAGGCCCTTGGTGTGCTCGTCTCCTCTAGCCTGGGGCTCGCATGGGGAGAAGTCCTGGTGCACAGGGTGTCACGGGGCCTCACGATGGATCCCAATCTCTCCATATTGTCCAGCCCTGGCTTCCCCTGGCTAAGACATCTGAGACTCTAGGGCAGCCTCCTGGGGTAGCTCTGGTTCGTAAGCCTCTTCCAGCCCCTTGGGCCCCTCACACCAAAAAAGTGGCACCTGAGAGGACCCCCAAACTTTCAGTCTTGAGGGTCAAAGTCTCTGGGGTATGAAAGCCACCTGTCCTGAAGTTTCTTAGTTCCCCACTCCCCACAGCCCCCCTTTGCAATGTGCTTGGAGCGAGAGCACAGGTGTGGGGGAGGCCACTTCAGGGAGACCTGGAGGGGTCCTGAAGGAACGGGGCCCTTCAGGGACTTTCCCTGAGACTGTCCCCACTCTGGGCCTCTTTTCTCACTATTTTTACCCATGTAAATGTGCTTCTCAGAGTCCTGCCAAGACACTTGGTTTTGTAATGTTGTTTAATAACATGAGCCACCTTAATGAAATATTCATACTCCTTTCTCTGTCGGAGCAGTCACCCAGGTTCCAAGAAATTACTCTGTCTCTTGTTTTCAAAGACAGCCCCACAGGTGGAGGACCCTCCCTGGGTGAGGCCGGCAGAGGGGCTGTGGGATCACCCTCCACAGAGGGGAGCACTGGGGGGCACCGGTCCAGGCTCCTCCTGGGGATGCTGGGAGCCCTAAATAGAATGGCTAGGAGCAGAATATTTGAGTTGAGGCCCCCAGCACAAGACCCCACTCTGGGGAATGGGGAGGCCTTCCCCTGGAGATCAGCTTCCTGGCTAAGGCGCTGGCTGGGTGAAAGCGGCCCCTGCCGCGCCAGGAGCTGGCTGAGGCTGAGGGAAGAGTGCCACCTGTTGAATGCTCACGATAGCGTGCTCCTTCCCGGGCTCCCGCTCAGGCCCGCACGCCTCAGGCAGCATGCCCTGTGCCCACGCAGGCTCAGAGCCCGGAAAGCCCGCGGTGCCCACTGCAGGGACCTTCTGCTCGCCCATCCGTAAGATGAGGCTGTTGTCCCGAGCACCTCCTACTGCTCAGGGAGGGGAGTTGACTTGCTGTCATCCCAAAAGCCAGTCCCGAGCCCCCACCCTGGCTCGGACCCCCACCCGAACACTTCCCACCCCTCCACTCTCTTTGGAAACTGACCTCTCAAGCCTCAGTTTTCCAGTCCAAACAACAATGCTCCTGTGAGCATTAATGAGACCAGGCAGGTAAAGTGCTTAGCAATGGGTAGCTATTATAATCCTTTTTATATGATTATAAACATATTTCCAACCAGGCGGCTGGCTCAGTTAATACACTTACCGCTAAGGAGAACTGACATGTAGCTATGGCACCGGTGGGTGACAGATCTTCAAGAATGAGGGGTAAACGTCTCAATAAAGAGCTAGAAAACACAAGAGATTTTGAGTTGCTTCTTTCCCCTGATCCATCTAAACCTTCACATCCCTTAAGACCCAGCTTGAATCCCGCCACCTGAAGATGCCTTCCCCACCACCTGGCCACCCAGATCTCTCTCCCTAAGAACTCCTGTAGCCTTCGTTGGAGAGGGTTCAGCTTTATTGTCACTCTACAGTTGGGGGTATTGCTCCACTCGCATGCTCACAAACCTTATCTTTCAGCTCGGCTGTGAACCCCAGAGGAACAGCTCAGTGTCCATGGTGAGGGGGCTATGTCACAAACCAGGCAGCTCTGGAGAGGCTGTGATCTGTGGGGTGATTACCTGGCTTCTCCACTGGGCATTGGAACCCCCTCTGCCTTTTATTTCTCTGATTGAAATAAATACGAAAAAGAAAATAAAACTTTCCCATGACCCCTCTACCCACAGATAACGACTTTAACCTTTCAGAATATTACCTCCTAATCTTCTAGCTAAGCACATTTTGTAATAGAGTTGAGATTCTTTTTTAGAGTCAGTTTTATTTCTAGACTTTGTTCAGTTGATGCTACCTTGTTTGCACTTTCCCAAACTATTTAATACTGTTCTTTAATAGCAATCTTAATAGTTACCTAGTGGAACTTAAAGGTACATCAAGGCTTATTCCACAATTCTTCTTTATTTGGATTTTTTTCTAATGTTCCGACACAAACAAATTCTGCCTTGTGAGGATAGACTCCCTGAATTGAGACCACCTGGTCAAAGAGGTTTTAATTATTGTGTTTTTTTCAGTTGAGAAATAATTGCCATATAACCCTATATTAGTTTCAGATGTATGACACAATGATTTGATCTATTGCAAAATGATCACTACCTTAATATCCATCACTGTACATAGTCACAAAATTTATTTCTTGTGATGAGATCTACTCTTTTAGCAACTTTCAAATATGCAATACAGTATCATCAACCAATGTTAGTTATTTTTATTTATATTTCTTTTAAAGGGAAGAGCCATGTCCCTATGGCAAATGGGCTAAATCACAATCTTGGCAACAGGAAGAGGGGGCATCTTCTCAAGCTGACTCTTACCCTCTCACCTTCCCATTTTTGTTTCTGGACAAACACACACACACCCCTTACATCTCAGCTGTGCTAAAATATTTGTAGTTATCTCAACGTGTGCAGATATTCATGGCAAGGCTTTTGTACATGTTTCCTGACCAGAGAGATACTCTTTCCCTCTCCTGAACTTAGCCACTTCCTCATCTTTTCAAGAGGCAGATAGCACTGTCTTTCTGTGACGTTTTTGCTGAGCTTCCAGGCAAAATGAGCCCCTCACCCCCTCACACACATACATTCCTAGATGTTCCCATTGCAACCTGCCTCCTTAATAATAATAATTATATTGATCATAATAATAATCAAGATGTACTGAGCCCTTATCATGTGCTCAGACAGTATTGTAGGCACTTTTCATGGATTTTCCCAGCATTCTCTGCTTTGTAGCTTAATGATCAGCGAGTATGTACATCTGTTCCCCTGCCCCAGACCATGAGTGGTCTCAGGGAGGGGGCTGCCCCAACTTCATTTTAGTTAGTCCTCCCAGGAGCTAGCACAATGCCCGGCACAGCAAATATCTCAGAAATGAATATCTGAACCCACCCACTCTGTATGACTCAGCCAATTTACGGCTGCATTAAAAATGACTAGAGAGCTGGGAAAAGACTGGCTGGATGCAAATCTCATGGCACACTTCCCCCGAGGGATCTGCACCCCTGGAGAAACAGAGCAAGGTAAAACCATCCAAGAAGTCTTGAGGATCATCACAGTGCAAACAGCCTTCCCTTCTCTCCAGAGCCCTACTGTCAGAGAAGGTAGGGTTAAAAAGAGAAAACAACAGAGAGAGAGAAAGATGGGGGGGAGAACAAATTAAATCTAAGCCACTGCTTATTTAAAAATTGATAGGAACTAATTAAATTAATAAAATTTGTGTTGAACTTTAAAACAAAAATCAGCTTTTAAAAAATTCCCTTCTTTCATCAAATCCCAAAACAATGAAATTCATTTTTTAATTAAATTGGATGGTGATCATTCCACTCCTTTGGCACTCAAAATATTAGTTCTAATAGAGATTTTTCTCTGGCTTCAAGTACATAAGTAGTGTTTGCCTATTTAAAACAGAAATAATATCTCTCCCTTGTTGGTGTGTCTCTGTTGATTGGAGCATCACTGAAAGGTGGAGGGGTCAATTCCCAGTCAGGGTACAAATCTAGGTTTCGAGTTCAAGCTCCAGTTGGGGTGCATGCAGGAAGCAACCAATGGATCTCTCTCTCCAAATATTAATTAAAAAACAAAAAAACAAACAAAGGCAACATCCTAATATATAATATAAATAGTTTCTTTACCTTTAATTAAGCCATTAACATGCTTCACTTCATTATCTGTCTGTCTGTCCAGTGGTGTGCTAGTTAATGTTCAGGAACCAGCCTTGGTGGGGGAAGGGGTATGTGCCAACTTGTGGCTTCTGCCAATTTCTGTGGTGTAAATACTCCCATTATGGCTCATTGTTTCAAACTACTAAGATGACTAAGGACAATGAACATGGAGTTAGGAAGAAATGTGCACAATCTACTTTCATGAGCTGGTATGAGGTGGCTCTGGTCCACCACTGAGTCCCCCTTTATAAGTCTGATTATGCCAGTATTGTCCAACTAGGATATTACCAATGAAATGGCAACAACATGACCTTTTTGGCTTTATGTGGAGTCAATCTGTTCACTTTCCCTTTAAGTTTTTCTTTTTTTTTCCCAAATCATATGAATGCTTACAATTGTTACAGTTCAAAGGAAATGTTGAGTTCATTCTTCTCCACTCCACTAACCTTTCCATGCATAATTACTAAATAATCCAAAATAAAATACACACAAGTTGGCTTAATTCCATGAAAAGATGTTGCAATGTCAAAGAATATTCTTTTGTTGCCCTAGCCAGTTTAGCTCAGTGGTTAGAGAGTTGGCCTGCGGACAGGAGGTCTGGGGTTCGATTTCGGACAAAGGCACGTACCTCGGTTGCAGGCTATATCCCTAGCCCTGGCTGAGCGTGGGAGGCAACCAACTGATGTGTCTCTCCCACATTGATATTTCTCTCTCTCTCTCTCTCACCTGCCCTTTTGCTCTCTCTGAAAAAGGTGAGGATTAAAAAATAATAATAAATTTTAAAAAAGAGTCTTTTGTAAATTTTATGTCTCGTTTCTAGACAGAATCCCCAGAAGTCCTGCCCAATCATAGAAGATCTTAGCTATGCCAGGTCAGGGAATGGGAAAGAAAGTATGTATATAGGCAATTTAGAGAGGTGACGATACTTACTAATTCCAGATTGTTTATTATAACTGTAACTGTACTATATACTAGGGGTATATGTTATTTCATTTCATCCTCAAAATGCTCTTTGTTGGCTATTATTACCTTTTACTTTTTAATGGACAGAATGAGGTGAAATTTTACTATGTGTCTCTGGCCATACAACTAGTGAGTGGTGGAGTAGTATTCAAACCCATTATCTTTGACTGCCAAGCACATAATTGTTCCATGATTCCACCCAGCCCTTTAAAGTAATCTAAAAAATATTTCATCCAAGTTGATGAGTCTTCCCTTAGAAAGTGCATCTTCAGGGCTCCTCTCTTCTCATCTTGTAACCTACTTCTCTCCCTTGCCTTCTCTCCAACACCTAGCAGGACAAAAAGCAGGTGCACTGTCTCCCTTCATTTACCTCATCCAAAGACATTTCAGCCTCAGTGTAAGAATTAGGAAAACTCTCCAAAACCCTGTCATGGAAGAGAAAAACCAAAGGCCTTACCAATCGGCCTATGTGGCAGATTTTATTTTCTAAGGTGACCACAAGAGCATCTCCTGTCTCACATGCTCTTCTAGAATCTTGCTACTCCCCATAGAGGTGGAGTCTATGTCTCCTCCTCTTGAACCTAGGTGGCACTTTGTGACTGCCTGGATCAATAGAGAATGGTGAAAGTGACACTATGTGACTTTTGAGGTGTGGTCATGAAAATGCCATTCACCACTATCTTGTTCTCTTGGAACCCAGCCTCCTCTAGGAGAAAGTCCAAGCTACCCAAGGAGAGGAATGCAGCATTGGCTGAGTTTCCAGCCAACATCCAGCACCAGCTTATCAGCCATGTATAAGAATCATCTTGAAATTCGCCAGCCTTCAGTCCAGCTGCTCCAGCTGATGCAACATGGATCAGTGATGAACCATCCTGGCTGAGCCCTGCCCAAACTGCAGATTTGCAGGCAATTAAATATTGTTTTAAGTCCCAAGTTTGGGGTGATTTGTTACACAGCAGTAGGTAAGTGAAACAGCCCACAAGGTCCTATATGAACTGGCTTCCCGTTAACTCTGAAATCTCTCTCCAGCCACTCTGTGTGCCTTGTACACTCTGTACTCTGTGCTTTAACAAACATGGAAAGCATGTGACCACAATCCCTAATTTCTTTCAATGATGTTTCATAATTTCGTGAGCAAAAGTCTTGCACATATTTTATTAGACTTTTTCCCTAAGTATTTAATGTGTGTGATGCTATTGCTAATGAATCCTATTATCCTAATTTCATTTTCTAATTATTTGTTGTGGGGATGTAGAAATACAACTGATTTTTGCATATTGACTTCATATTTAGCAACCTTGCTAAATTCATTTATTAGTTCTTACAGTTTATTTATAGAGCCTTTTAGAGTTCTACTTTCCAATAATGATGTCTGTTAATGATAGTTGTTTTTCTTCCTTTCTTATGCTTAAATTTTAAAATTTCTTTTCCTTCCCTTATTGAACTGGAGGGGGCATGCAATGTGACACTAAAAAGAAGTGATGACAGTGGGAATTCTTACTTGGTTCCCAGTCTCAAGGGGAAGCTTTAAATACTTCACTACTAATTATGATATTCAGTATAGTTTTGTTTTTGTGTTTTTGATTTTTTGTTTTATAAATATCTGTT